AGAGACACACATNTACATACTGATATACACCTGAACATCAGCAGGAGAGGACTCTTTAAAGTAGAGACACTACATACTGATATACACCTGAACATCATCAGGAGAGGACTCTTTAAAGTAGAGACACTACATACTGATATACACCTGAACATCAGCAGGAGAGGACTCTTTAAAGTAGAGACACTACATACTGATATACACCTGAACATCAGCAGGAGAGGACTCTTTAAAGTAGAGACTCTACATACCAATATGAACCTTGAACAAAGGGCCCCTTTAATGGTTCTAAGGGGCCTCAAAGTGAAAATTCATGAATAAATGCAGATCATAAAGCTGCTCTGATGTTTCATATGCAAGCTCACATCCTTCTCATGTCATTTTTATTCCACAGAATACAGCCCTTCTTCGTTGGCTAACTGCAACATTAAATGGTTTTGTTTTGAAATGGTTTATTTTCCTACAAGCTCATTTGATTTTGTCTTCTTCATGGCATTTTCCCAAAGCAGTTATCACTTCTTTCATAATCATTGCAACAACTTGCTTGGTATCTGTCAGACGAAAGGAAACCAGATGAATCATTGCATTAGAGTTCAGTAAAGCTATTGTGAGAGTTATTAAAGTGTGATAATTACCCAGGCGTGGTCTGCCAGAAGGAAATAGCTTGTGCAAATGTCAAAATAGAGATTAAGCGATGCTGAGAGCGTAATGTATTGTGTGATTAATCATGATTAGTACCAATAACCACAGGACTTTAGTATATCCTGAATCTGACAGGACGTATCCTACTCAGAGGTGAAGTCAACCTCGACACTTCTCCTATCTTCACTCTAGCTGCTCTCAGGCTCTGGATAATTTCCCTACAGCTCCTTTCACTCGTTCTCCTTCTTTTCACCTTATCCTTTGAAAAGACAAACTCAGACACGAACACAGACACCCGCCCAACCCACACATTCCTCTTTGACAGTGACTTTTGTGTATGTCTGGAAAAGGAGCAGCTGGACGGCCACATTGTGTCTTTAAAGCCGCCTGCTCACTGGCCACTCGTTCCTCTGGTCGTCTGTGTTTTAGCTCAGAAGTTCCTAACAGACGACTCACTGCAGATTCTGTGATATGTGTCTGTCAACGGCTTTTCTCAGCTCCGGTCATTTCACATGACGAGCAGCCAAAACTAACAAATGATCCGTTTGGGTCAAGGACACCAAACATGAATATCTTTTGACGGCATTAAATGTCCACATAAAGGACTGTAGAGGAGAGGAATTCTGGACTTTTACCTAATACTTTTATTTGCTTCAAACAGATCAAGACTTGGACATAACAGCACAATACATGGAGCAAATATAAGCACAGGTACAATGCATATAAAGAAGGTCAGACAGAAAATAAAACATTGTTAAGATACTAGACGTTTATTGCAGCGGTGCAGTGGGTTGTGCGTAGGTGTTCGGATCAGGGGGTCACAGGTTCAAACCCCACTGCAGTCAGCATGTCGTTGTGTCCCTGAGACACTTCACCCCAAATGGCTCCTGTGGGGATTGCCCACAGTATTGAGTATGTAAGTTGCTTTGGATAAAAGCTTCTAACAAGTGAAATGTAATGTATTTATTTTTATTTATTTTATTTATTTTATTTATTTTATTTATTTTATTTATTTTTATTTATTTTATTTATTTATTTATTTTATTTTATTTATTTATTTATTTTATTTAATTTATTTTATTTATTTATTTATTTTATTTATTTAATTTATTTTATTTATTTATTTATTTAATTTATTTTATTTATTTGGCAGGGACATTGCACATTAATGAACACTTAAAACATGAAATGTGCCAAGTGTAAATATGCCGGATTTAGCTTTGAGCTACTTTCCATCTGCAGTCCCTCACATAAAACATTTAAGAAAATGGAAATTACAAAACATAGCAGTACAAATACATAAAATGCAAGAAAAGTGCCAGAGTAAGAGTAGAATACCCAAGTATTTAGGACATGGTAATACAAAATAGCAGCATCGATACACAAAGTGGAACAGAAGATACCCCTGTATTATACAAAATGATACGATAATACTTACGGCGCTGCTGTGATGCAAGAAGAATGACAGACTTGACCTGACAATGAAGTTTGATTGTATCTTATATTATAACAATCCTATTTGTCCACCTTCTCCTTTTGGGAGTCTGAGAGTAAAAGTTATTTTCTCAATTGAGTGGAGGGAATTTATGATATTAATAAGAGGAGCCATGGATGAAGAGATACTCCGGAGCCAGCATTTTGTAAAAGTTGTTTTCAACATACGTAATTAAATATGTTACTTCTGACCACTAAATATTATGTTTTTATTTCAACAAGGACCATGCATACAAATACATTAGTCTCAGAAAAGAGATGCCAGATTATAGTTAATAGCTCATTTCCATCTGCAGTCCTTAGGCAGGTACAGAACAATCAACAAACACTAAAAACAGTGCATGATCTCTATCACACAGACAATTATAATACAAGATTAAAGTACAGGTCAATAAGATAATACATAGCACAGTTAAAATATAATGTTACAATCAGGGTTCCTACGGTCATTAAAAACCTGGAAAAGTCATGGAAATTCAAAATGCAAATTCCAGGCCCTGGAAAAGTTATGGAAAACAATATTTGTCCCAAAGTGTTGGAAAAGTCATGGAAATGAAACCAAAGTTGCATCAAATATAATTTATATTTGATCTAATCGCCAAAATAGTAATACTATAACAATAATACATACTGTATAGAATGAAACGTAAAATGGAATTTAACTGACGAGGTATTTTGCTGGTGAGAGATTTTAGTTGCTTAGCGTGTAGAAGCTAGTGAGCCTATTGGATTTGTTTTAGATAGGCTCAACATGTTTCAGACCTTATTTTCCTGTTCCATGTTAAAATAAAAATGTTTCAGTGGTACCGCGGAGAAAGAGTAATGTTTTTGGTCATGGAAAATGAGGTAAAGGTCCTGGAGAAGTCATTGAAAATCATTGGTGAAAAAGTGTATGAACCCTGTGCAATGCAGTTGAAATGGAAAAACTCAAATAAGTAGAATTTTAATACTTTAAGAATCACCCAACTTGATGAGTAGCCAAGATAAAGATGTGTTTATTTTCTCCTTCGTTGACAAAGTCTTTAAATCATTGTGTCTGAGCACAGCTATGCTAGATGTCATGTATGCCCTCTCCTGTGCATTAGGGCATTGAAGGCAGATGGTGCATTTGAAAACACTTTCTACAAAAAGAGTATCAAACGTGAACTACTTGTTTGCGTGACTCAGCGCCGGTCTATTGAAGGTGGCCACTTTTGATGCTTTTGTCCTCCATTCTTTTTACAGTTTCCTTTCAATGTTCACCTATTATGCGGGCCAAAAGCACAAATGTATCCTTTGCATTTTTCTTGATTGAATGCAACAATACACACTGTCCTTTTTGCCGCACAGTAGCCCTCTGATCGTCACAATAAGCTTACTTTGCCATATCCGGGCTGGCACACAGCATGGGCCTTCAGAGCACGGGAAACTAATGGCGGAGCGCTGCGAACACAATGGACACTGGTTTTTCAGTCCCAGTCTTTATAAAACACTTTGTAGCCACAGCAGGTAGAAAGAGAAGGGCCGCCTGTCCCCTTCCCTCTGTACAAACAGGAAGGAGAAAGGGACGGTGAAACTGAGATGAGAGGAAACATAAAGGAGGCTCTGGGTTTGGTAAATGGCGGTCACAATGAAGCCCCTCTGGTGCCACTCTTTCATACCTGGTGTTTGTACGTGACCACACTTGACATGCTGCATTTTCCCTCTCCGGCTCCCACACCCGTCACCTCGGCTTCAGATGTTTTGTGTTCCTTTTGATTGTGTTGTTAGTTAATGGGCCCCACTTTCTTTCTTTCTTTCTTTGTTTCTCCCCCTCTGCACCCAGGACGAACGTGAGATAAGAGAGACGGTGAAGAGGGAACAGGACGAGGCCTACCGCGTGTCTTTAGAAGCCGACCGTAAAAAGGTATCTTTGTCAAATAAATCTAAATGTCTGACTTGTATCACTGCACTCTGAGAAAGTTGTGGTATTCTAGGCAGTACATGTACACCATGTACAGGTCTAACCAAAACATGTCTCTATATGTGTCACATTAATTGCTTGTATTAGATTTAAATAGATGAGATTCTTAATAAACTGGGTTTTCTGGATCACTTGTTAAATGTCAGTACCAATTATAGGAAACTTATAATAGTGTCTACTTATATCACTGCACTTTGAGTAGGTTGTGGTATTCTAAACAGTAAATGTACTCCATGTACACCATGTACAGGTTTAACCAAAACATCTCCTTATATGTGTCAAATTAATTGCTTGTATTACATATTAATAGATGAGTCTCTAATAAACTAGGTTTCCTGGATCTCTAGTTAAATGTCAGTAACAAATATTGAGAGGAAACTTGCCTACTTAAATCACTGAACTTTGAGTAAGCTGTGGTATTCTAGACCAGGGGTTCCCAAAGTGGGGGTTGCGAGATGATTAGAAGATAAAAAAATTTATCAATTTCTTCTATCAACCTTTTTTTTTTAAATTATTAATAATAACGTGTGCATAGACATTTTTCAGGGGCGGACTGGCCATCTGGATAAAACTTTTTCATACCAAGGACCACTCAACCAATAATAAAAAACGTTTATGCAGCCCCCACAACAGCCTCTGATCATCAACAGACTTCATGCAATGCTTCATTGGATGCATATATTATATAATAATCTCTATCTCACTCCTAACACATCTACATCTACTTCCAGCATGGATACATGTTCATGAAAGACATCCATTGTTTGTTTTATACGCTTCTTGAAATCCTAAAAAACACAGTTTTTTTAGAACAGATTACAAATCGCCTGAAAATGGTACAAACAAGTGGAAACATGTGTGACGCAGGTGTTGCGCTGGACTATATCATGCAATCAAAAGTGAAACTTAAGCTCGCTCCATTGCGGAGATATTCCTGCGAGAGTGTGGAAAACTTTAATTAATGAATTTGACAGGGGTCGCCAGTCTCTGGCACTGTTATTTTGGGGGTCGCAGGCTGAAAAGTTTGGGAACCCCTGTTCTAGACAGTACTTATTAACAAATAAGCATAAGCACAAACTTTTCCTACGGTCTTGATTATCGTTGAACTCCTTCAAGTAAAGAATATTCCAACTTTTCAAAAGGGAGGATTTGATTTGTGTCATGTTATTTGTGTTAGATTTAAATACTTGAGTATCTTTACAGCTAAGTTACTTGACCCTCATAGCATAATAGAAACGTCCTCAAATAAGACTTCATCACCAGTGGGAAACATAGTGACAGTCTTACAGATTACATGTCACATTATCTTCTTGATTCTGCCGTTGCATCCTGTTTTTAATCACATAAATGTCTTTCTTTTTCAGAGAGAGGCCCAAGAGAGAGAAGAGGCGGAGCAGAATCGCCTGGAGCGGAAAAGAAAGGAACAGGAGGACGAGAAGGAGGTGAGAAACACACACACACACACACACACACACACACACACACACACACACACACACACACACACACACACACACACACACACACACACACACACACACACATGCAGATGAACTCAATTAATATGCCAGCTTCATCAGTGCATTGTGCTGTCATGTTTGATCTGTTTTGCTCTCACTTCTCAACAATGACTCAATTAGATTGTGGTTTTGGTGACGCGAGCGTATTTCAGAATAATAATATATCCTAATTACAGCGAGGCTCTGCTCTGCTCACGTCACCTCACATGCACACAGTTATTGTTCTGTGTGACTGCTTTACATTGGTACAGCACAACCGCCTCATATTGAAACCTGAGTGAACAAAAGACTCAGGCTTGAGCAGAAACACACACAAAACCTAAGCAAACACACATATTCACTTGAAAACAATTATTGTATGTGCAGAGGGGGCAGACACGCACACTGTCACGCATGCAGGGAAAATAATAATTGTCTGTGAGGCTGGCACCATGTAGTAATACAGTGTAGTCGCGCTGGTTGTTGTTTGCTCACCAGAAGAGCCCTGAGGCCCGGAGAGGTATTGGGTGACCCGACTCGCTCAGGTGATTTGTCACTTTAGTTAAACAGAAAACAACAAAAGAGCCTCGGGTAGGGCATCTTAATTATATCACTGTAGTCCACCAACTGAACTGTGTGTATTTTAAACAACAATAGCCACTATGGCCTTCTGTTTCCAACTTAGGTCAATTGTTTCTCTGCGGTTCCCATGGCGTCTCCTGAGCTAACAAACTAGCGTTGTGCTACAGTCGAGATATTCATAAATCTGTAGGACAACGACAGCTGCTGGAGGACAATGGCAACTTGAGTTTCTTAAACAGGACTTACAATGAATTTAAAGTGGGCAGTGGACATTTTGTTGTGTGTACGTCTTGTTTTGATGAGTCCCCAGAAACACTGCTAGACAACACTTTAAGATTTTTAGGAATTAACAGTTTTTCAACTTTTAGTTTTTGGCTGAATGTAAGAAGAAATACAAATGTGCTTTTGCGTGTAGCAGCTTGAATCGGACATTTTTTTGAACAATATATAAAGTAAGATAGATGTGTATTTAATAAAAAACTTAAATGTGTCTTTATTTACATATTCAAGTAAGCAAGTTATTATTGGATTTGAGCATTTACATTTCACAACAGTTCAACGTAGTTACTGATACTGAGTCACTTACTAAAATTATCAATAAAGATCAATAGATCTGAATAGTTGCAATGATTAGTTTTACTTTTAACAGGGTGTCCGCGGGGTCTTAAAAAGTATTAAAAGTTGATAAATCAATTTAGAGAAAATGAAGGCTATTAAAAAGTATTAAAGGGCATTTTCCAAGGTATTACATTTTGTAGCTTGTTTTCAATAAGTATATAAATGGTCCAAAGAGGTTGGACCATTTATATACTTATTGAAAACAAGCTACAAAATGTAATACCTTGGAAAATGCCCTTTAATACTTTTTAATAGCCTTCATTTTCTCNAAATCTGAGACTGAGTCTGTTGAATAATAATATAAAATGTATAAAGTGCTTTTCCTGGTGCTCAAAGCGCTTACAAGCAACTAAAACAAAATAACAACAAAAGTAGAAAGTGCTAAGCTAGGAGGAATAAGGGCAAGGGGTTAGTTGATTAGGAGTTGAAGGCAAGAGTGAAAAGGTGAGTTTTGAGGGATTGTTTGAATGATGTGAGAGTGTTGGCGGATCTGACGTGGCTGGGGAGGGAGTTCCAGAGTGGGGGGGGGGGCTGCAAAGGCCCTGTCACCCCAGGTTTGGTGCTTTGTCCTGATGGGCTGCAGTAGGTTAGCTTCAGCAGACCTGAGGCGACGGGTGGGGGTGTGTCGTTGGATGAGGTCACAGAGGTAGGGGGGAGGCAAGATTATTGAGGGCTTTGAAAGTGAAAAGTAATATTTTAAAGTCAATGCGGTGTTTGATGGGGAGCCAGTGGAGGTCATGGAGGATAGGGGTGATGTGGTCGGGTGGAGGTGAGCAAGCGGGCAGCTGAGTTTTGGACATATTGAAGTGTTTTTAGTGTGAATGCAGGGGATGCTGTTGCAGTAATCCAGCCGGGATGTTGAATATAGCCGTATCTAACACACTGTATTGTTGTTTCATTATGACTGATATAGCAACTGTGATTTGATGTGTGACGCTAGAGGGAATGAGTATTTTTGAAAGATCATCAGTGAAGATATTTAAAATGATGATGGTGGGATTTTTTTAAGACGATATGTACCAAACTTTGATAAGGCTTTTAGTTGTTTTCACTTTCTTGTAGTGTGTTGTATACGATTTTTGCAGGTAAACATGTTACAGCAGAGGCTCAACATACAAATAAGTACATGAGAATTAGCATATAGAGTGGTGCAGTGACGCGTCCTAAAACCCGGAAGTGAGTTAGCATTTTACCACTTCCGGTTCCTTCGCCAAAAAGCAATGCAATCTCTCCATAGGATTTAGGAAAATATCTGGAAATAAGGTCTGTGGTTACGTGATCCGTCTCTTCAATGTGTTTCAACCACAGACCTGATTTCCAGCTATTTTCCAAAATCCTATGGAGAAATTGCATTGCGTTTTTGTCGAGGGACCCGGAGGGAGTTTACTTCCTGGTTTTAGGACGCGTCACTGTGGCTCTCTATAGGGGCCTCTTTAAGGTCCATAATACCATTTGTAGGTCAGGACTTGGAATACAAATAACAGTGATTTGCTATTTCGATATGATTCCAAATGATAGGAATGCATTATAATTCTCATCTTTTAAAAATACATTCAAACAATTATGGTGTGACCCAAAGATATTGAAGTGACTGTTAGTTTGTATATATTGATTGTTGTGCTTTTATGTGTGTCTTAATGTGTGCATATGTATAAATGTGTCTGTTGATTGTGTATATATAGGATATACATATATTTGTATTTTTTTATTTGGGATTGTTGGAAACGGTATTTCGATCTCTCTGTCTGTACACACAAACTGAAAGATTGAGAATAAAGTTGACTTTGACTGATATGTACCAAACATATTGTTTTGTTAAGTCTGTAAAACACTTTGTAGGCATGGAAAACCCTACTGCGCCATAAAACTTCATTCAGATATTTCCAGCTACTTGATATGAAATGGAATCTGGTTATTGCACTAGTCCAACACCAGCTCATATTGTGACTTTGATGCACTTTTGATAAATGAAACCTCCCTTATAAGAGCTGATATCTATCAAACACAATGCATTTGGTGACACTGTCTTACAGCACAAAGACAACCATCAACTGTCGTCTTCCTCAGTGAAGCTAATCAGTTCTCCTGCGTGTTTCAGCCTCTCCCTGGAGCCTCCTCTCTCCTCCCTCCTCCCCCCGGCTTGTTGTTCCTGTTTGGCCAGCCGGGGAGCATATGCTGTGACAACACGCCCCGGCTTTATTTACACACCATAATGCAATTATATTTCATAAGAGTGTACAACAGTAGCTCATTAGCAGCTTCTGGTGTTGCGGTGGGCCGGGCAGCGCGTGCCGCTCCACCGTCAGCTCCCTCAGGTACTAGAGCTGATGCTGACTGAGCTAAAGGGCCCCCCGGGACACACACACAGATAATAGACAGGAGTGTGTGTGTGTGTGGTTGTAGTGAGTTATAGCGTCCCTAAAGAAACCACAGGACACACGTCAGGTCGAGCCTCGGCTCCACACAAATAATCAGAAGCATCTCTCCGTCCGTTTATCTGCCTGCAGCGCCGCTAACCACAGAGAGCAAACAGACGACAGGTGGGGGGGGGGAGAGGTGCACCTGACAGCAGCACAACTGTATGCTAAGGCCCTCTGAGGAAGGTAAATAGTAATGTCAACCTACCCCCCCCCCATCCACTCCCCAATTCAGCAGCTCCTACTTTCATCTCACTGTTCTTTGCACAAAGGCACAACATCTCAGAGAAAGCGTTCCCACCGCACGTCCGCTCCCCGGGGGCTACCAATGTTTTTGTTGTGTCTGCAGTTTCCGTCAAATACAGAACAAGGCTACTACCTCACAGGACTCAACGGAAAACTGTAAACAAGTAGAATTCAACTTTAGAGGTAAAAACAGGGTTTACACGATGCACTCTTAACTGCTGAGCTCGAAGGGGGAGAGGGCGACAACATCACATTCTTAGCGATGATATTCTTTATCTAATTCGAGGCATATTATGTTGATAGCATGTTAATTGTAGAGTTGTGAGACCATCTCCATTAAGATTGTTCTCCTACAAACCTTACTTTTAAATGCATTTCATTCCGCCTCCAGTTTGCATTCTCCCTTTCACAATAAAAGACCTGCATTACTTCCGACAAGGGATCATTTAATAAGAAGCAACTTCACAAAGAAGCTAACAGTAGCTATCCTGAGCTAGCAGTTTGTCGTTAGTCGTTATACAGGGTATAAGCAGGAATCCTGAAGTCAGATGTAATTCCTTTTAAGACCTTTTTTAAGACCCTTTCCATACATTTTAAGACCTCATCGCTACTTGGAGTTTTAACCGGTTACCTTGGCGACACACTTTACCTCACATTGACTATATACAGTATTGATTGTCCTTCCTCCTTATCTTCCAATCATTTGGACGCTAACTTGCATTTCCCCATAACGATGTTGTTCAACCACCGGCGTAAACGGAGCTTCGTGCTATCAAGCAGTGAGCGTGAGATGTCCTGTTCAGATGACGTCAAACCCAACGGGATGCCATAAATAAAGTACACAGAATCACACTACACACCTACGCAATGATTACATTCAGGCAGACTGTAGAATACAACCTCTTTGGACAATTTATATACTTATTGAAAACAAGCTACAAAATGTAATACCTTGGAAAATGCCCTTTAATACTTTTTAATAGCCTTCATTTTCGCTAAATTGATTTATCAACTTTTAATACTTTTTAAGACCCCGCGGACACCCTGTGAAAAGTAAAACTAATCATTGTAACTATTCAGATCTATTGATCTTTAATGCTAATTTTAGTAAGCGACAGTCAGAAAAAGAATCAGTTGAACTGTTCAGATCAAAATCATTGTCCGAAATGTAAATGCTCAAATCCAATAATAACTTGCTTATTTGAATATGTAAATAAAGACACATTTAAGTTTTTTATTAAATACANTTTGCCACAGAATCAGCCCTTGTGAAGACAGGGCTGGAATAGAGCGAAATGAGGCATGGCTAAAATGCATGATCTGTTTGGTATTTTGAAAAAAAAACTTCACAGACATGTTTTATATAGGTATGGCCCTACAATATATGATTCAAATATAGCATGATAGGTCCACTTTAAGTAACAAAACATTTAAGTAATGGGCTGAGGAATGTATCCATATTATATCAATACCGGCAACTGCAAATCAGAATAGTCTATTTTTAAAACATTGCTTTTCTATACATTCCTTTAAAAAAAAGTATTATGATTATGTTGTGATTTGCCAAATGTGTTTTGTTACGTCTGTAGAATCAGATTGATTGGGTGGGATATCTTTGCAGCCACAATACTGCATTTAATATGATATTATATAACAC